TCCCATCTTGTTATTAATTTATAATGTCACTAAAATAAATACAACAGAATAAGACTTTTAATGAGGGTGTGGAGGAATATAACCAGAAAATCTACACTGATTATATGTATGCCTCCTGGCTGGTAACCCTTTAGGAATTCTCTATGGAGAACAGGTCAGGTGGGGAAGATGTCTGGGGCTGGCCGGTAGTGGGAGACTGGGGCTAAGAGAGAAGGCCCAGGTTTGGGAGCCCAGAGCCTTGCCTCACTCTGACGTCTGACTTCTAGAGCTCCAGCTGCTGGCCGCTTCATAAGATTAAAAGGCCTAGCAGAGCTCAGGGCCCTTGGTGGCAAAACAACAATGTCCAACCCTTGGTCTCCTCTCTTTACTCCTTCAGTTAAATAGCATCCCAGTTGGTTTTTCCCACCTGTGGTGCTGTTGAGATTTTTAAAATATTGCCTCCATTTATAAGGATAGAAATAATAACTAAGAAATATACTCTTTAAACAATTTCTTTTTTGGGTGGGTGCAGTGGCTCACGCCTGTAATCCCAGTACTTTGGGAAGCCGAGGCAGGTGGATCACAAGGTCAAGAGATCGAGACCATACTGGCCAACGTGGTGAAACCTTGTCTCTATTAAAAATATAAAAATTAGTTGGGGGTGGTGGTGCACACCTGTAGTCCCAGCTACTTGGGAAGCTGAGGCAAGAGAATCACTTGAGCCTGGGAGGCAGAGGTTGTAGTCAACCAAGATCGTGCCACAGCACTCCAGCCTGGCGACTCCATCTCAAAAAGAAAAAAAAAGAAATCTTTTTCTAAAAATATGGGAGCCAAGATTCCATTCATAAAAAAAAGGCAAGGCCAACCCCTTACCTTCAGAGAGGTCCACCTGGTTTGTCATTGCAATGCTTTTTTTTTTTCTTTTTTTTGTGTGTGTTATTTCATCTCAATTCCATCCTTCCATTCTTCTTAGTCTATATCCATAGACCAAGGGGCAAACAGATACTCAGATAAATGCTAAAAGTAATTAGTTACTAATATATAATTAACATTTAACATTATGCCAGTGTTTTAGATACTTTATACATATCATTTTAAAAAAAATTTTATTTATATATATATTTTTATATTTTTGAGGTGGAGTTTTACTCTTGATGCCCAGGCTGGAGTGCAGTGGCACGATCTCGACTCATTGCAACCTCCACCGGCCAGGTTCAAGCTATTCTCCTGCGTCAGCCTCCTGAGTAAGTAGCTGGGATTATAGGCGTGCCCAATGCCTGGCTATTTTTTTTTTTTTTTTTCCTTTTTTTAGTAGAGACAGAATTTCACCACGTTGGCCAGGCTGGTCTCAAACTCCTGACCTCAGGTGATCCGCCCACCTTGGCCCCCCAAAGTGCTGGGATTACAGGCATGAGCCACCATACCCAGCCTAAATATCATTAATTTTCACAACCACTCTATCAAAGAAAACCGTGATGCAGTACATAGTTCTCTTCGAGGAGAGAAAAACTGCTTACTAAAACTGAGCAATATTAGGTAACTGTGTGAATCCATTCCTAAAGGGCATTTCCTCCATAATGGACAATTACTTGCAGTTGTAGTCATACAAATGATACATAATGCCACAGCTAAAATCCTGCTGTTAGTTCTGAGGAAGTGAAGAGTGTGTCCAGAGAAAGTTGAGCAGGTTAGTGAAGCAGTCGCAAATGCTGTTGCTTGTGGAAAGGTTAAAATCACTGTGGCTTTTTAGCATAAAGAGACTACTTAGGCAGCTATCTTCAGATATTTGAAGGGCATTTTTTACAGAACAGATTGGATCTTATTTTTATATTGCTGCCAGGCACAAATAAGATACATGAAATGGGGCAGGGAGACTTTGTGAGTCAATGAGTTCTCTTTGCATTGCTAAAAGTGCTCAAGATTATCATTATCAGGGTAGAGCTTGTTTTTGTTCTTTTTAAATTTATTCCAAAACAAATACAAAACAGCTTCACCAAAAAATGAGAGGAAAGAAATGAAGCAGGAAGCCAGTGTTGTTGGTACATGTTCATGGATAGTCTCATATATTTTTGGTGGGATTATGTATATTGATACATTTAAATAAACAATAATTTAACAAAATATAACGTTTATCACTTTCACACCATAATTCTACTGCTGTGAATCTATCCTAGTGAAAAAAATCTTAAGAAAGAAGCTGTAAGCATAAGTATATTCATCACAGTGTTTTTTAAATAGCAGAAAGTTAGAAATAATATAAATCAAATTATAGAGGCATAATACATCAAACTGCAGTACGTTCAATGGGTAGAATGCTATGTTGCCATCAAAAAGATGTTGGCCAGGTGCAGTGCCTGTAATCCTGGCACTTTGGGAGGCCAAGGCCAGCGGATTGCCTGAGCTCAGGAGTTTGAGACCAGCCTGGGCAACACAGTGAAACCTTGTCTCTACTAAAATACAAAAAATTAGCCGGGCATGGTGATGTGCACCTCTAGTCCCAGCTACTTGGGAGGCTGAGGCAGGAGAATCGCTTGACTACAGGAGGTGGAGATTGCAGTGAGCCAAGATCGCAATCCTGCCCTCCAGCCTGGGCGACAAAGCAAGACTCTGCCTCCAAAAAAAAACCAAAAACGAAAACAAAAAATCATATTGTCAAAGAATGTGTATCAGCAAAGAAACTGTGAGCTAGTGGGTGGAGGGGAAAGGACTTGTAATAATTTACTTGGTTCTCTTCTACAATTGTGACTAAATTCCATTCTTATACCTCAGTAACATTTCCCACATTTTCCTCTTCTTTTCAATTCTCTGCAATCCCACATTATTCAGGAGCCTCGTATTTATAAACCAATTATTCAGGAGCCTCGTATTTATAAACCACAATCCAATATTCCCTTTTCCCCTTTTCTCAGCTGCTTTCTCTTTCTCTATATCCCCCTCTATCAGTTATTTTTTTTTAATTATCCCGGATTGATTTAGTTTTTCTCTCCCTACCTCCTCCCTTTCCCAATTTTGAATTCTACATCACAAAAGTCTGGCAGAAGATGACTCTTCTCTGGCAGAAAGGAGGGAGAGGCTGGGATGAAACAAATCAACATTCTCTCTTGTGGCAGAGGGAAGGTCATCTCCACATTAATATTTTTTTATTCTGTTTAGTTATAAACAAGCTAACAAAATTTAAGATACCAAATATTGAAACTTTGTACTCAAGTATTACTGTCACACTGGTTGTGGTTCAAATTTATATACTCCCAACAGAAATACATGAAAATATCGATAATATGTAATTTTATCAATATTGGGCATTTTATTTCTTAGTCTCCTTTTTCAGGTAAAACTTAACAAAAATTATGTTAAAATACTGATAAATTCACAGTTATAATATTAGCATAAGTGGTAGTGCTAACATGTAAAGGACTAGAAAGTTCTCCCAGATAGAACAGTCAGGATTTTGCTGTAAAAATAAAACTTACTTGGAACTATGTCCTAGGACTCTGCCAATTTCTTGCTGAGTTAAGAAGTATGATTTACATAGATCCTGGTTACCCTGAGGGGCGAAAGAGATGAGAAATAGCCAGTTGTTAATGGGGAATATGTCAAGAGGAAGGAAAACAGAAGTAAGGGCTGTACAAATACTTAAAATGCTTCCTTATTTTTGAATTTTTTAAAATTTCCATTTCTAAACATAATTGATTTTACTAGAGCCCTGCTGCTCTCTTTGATTAAATGAGAAAAGATTAATTGCTAGACTCTGCACCCCACTAGATACTTCCTGTAATATCCTGTTTTCTGTTAACTACTTAATCAATAATTTAATTAAAAATCAGTAGAATTACTGGTATGTAGGATGAAGTCCCATGAGGTCCTGGAGTGGCTTTCAAATACTTTAGCAACAAAAGAAAGAAAATGAGGATAGCTAAATTTTTAAATCTGGGTGGTGCATTTATAAGGGTTCGTTATGCTAGTCTTTCTATAATACTTTTGTGAATGTTTAACATTTTTCATAATATTTAAATAGTAGTCTGTTGAAGGTAATTCTGGGCTGTTTTTAAAAAGTTTTTAAAGAGCGGCCGGGCGCGGTGGCTCAAGCCTGTAATCCCAGCACTTTGGGAGGCCGAGGCGGGTGGATCACGAGGTCAAGAGATCGAGACCATCCTGGTCAACACGGTGAAACCCCGTCTCTA